TACTGTACCTGCCCATGTAACCATTAGTAAACAGTGATTTTGAGCCAAAGGAATATAAATTGACTGTACCTGCCCATGTAACCATTAGTAAACAGTGATTTTGAGCCAAAGGAATATAAATTAACTTATTATTGTTGTTCTGTTCACACAGTCCTAAAGTGACATGTAACATTTCCCTTACTACATTGACATTAATCACTTATTATGATAACTTCTGAAATCAATGAAAATCGTTTAGCAGTAGAAATCTGGATTATTACTGTATTTGTTAGAAAAATAATTTTAATCACCTTTTCTTGCTGACATTATAGTAGATTTTAGTGAAGCGGGAATTTGTTTATTTTTGCAAATGCATTCTTTTTCATTCCAGAGCTTGAGAAAAAAAATAATTCTAAAACAGCCTCTGTAATTGCAGATCCTATCATTGGGCAACTGGGAATGCTTCATAGCTAAAAGAGAGAAGGCAGCGTATGATAAACTCTGCATTCATTCAAGTAAACAGATTGTTCTCTAGGGAAATCACTAACAGATTTTCTGCATGTTTTCATTTCACTTTAGGATCAATTACTTTGTATTTTGTTAGAACAACTAACATACTTCATTGGCTTTCATTTCCTGTGGAAACAGTTAATTTTTGAAAGAGAAATATTTTCTAGTCTTATCTGTGGAATCTGCAGTGTTAACCTTATCAATTATTTTAATTATTAGTAACAATGAAAGAGAATCATTAAACATTCAAACTTAAAACTGTCTTGACTTATAGTCACTACTTTCTCCTCTTGCATAATTTAAATTCAGAGCTTAGCATAAAAAGGTAACCGTGTGGTTTTGTTTAAAAAGTCTCTTTGTAGGATCACAACTCTGTTTCAAGCTTGTATTTGCTTTTAACAGCTATAGCTGATAATGATAAATATTGCCATGTATTTATGAAAAGGTAATTTAATTGAAATAATTTTACATTTTATAATATATTAATCATAAACAGAATTGTATATGGGACATTAAGCCTGTGTCAGTATGATTAAGGATCTGCAGATTGCCAGTATGGTTTATGTCCCATTTGTATTAATTATCTCAACACAAAATAACTGAAGTAGAAAACTCATTATGTGACAAACTAAGAAATTGGAGAGATCACGTGACATGTGAGAATATGGTCGACTCTCATTAGCTTCTCTTGTACACTACTCAAGACGTGATTATAGACCACCCTTCTGTATAATTTTCTCTGTCCTTGATAAGCTTTGGCTCAAGAAGACATCCAAGAAAAAAAGAGTTCCTCAGGCAGCAAAAATATGGGAAGTGATTCAAACAAGAGTCTATTCAGGTGGAGCTGACATGAGTGATCAAGAGAGCTTTTTCTGCCCAGAGTGACATTATCTGCAGAATGGGAGCATACTGTAAATGCTGGCTGAGTCTTTGGGTCTGTTCAGTGAACAGCACATGCAAACAGCACAGTCCAACTATCAAACAGGACTAACTGCCTTCCTCACTGTCTTCAGATGTTTAACAAATTTCAGGACAAACTAAAAGAATTCAATAAGAGACTTCAAACTGCATTCCTGTTAAAGTTCAACAGGTTCTTATACGGGATGCCCAGAAATCCCAATCAAAATAATAAGGCACCACCTCAGTTTCTTTGTAGATTATTCTAGGCAACAGCAGCCAAATGCATAGCTTTTTTCTGTGGTGAAGGCCAGATTATGCCATGTGGAACTGGGAAGTTTCCAGGGACTCAATTCTTGAATGGAATATGCAAGGTCACAACTAACATGTAGTCAAATTAATTCAAAGGTTTTATACAGAAATCTGTGACATCTTGGAAGCAGGTTCTGATTCATATTTTAATGCAAATTTAGATTAATAAAGATAGAACAGAAAGAACATGTTTATTATGTGTCTCCACTGCTCATTTACACTCTGGAGGCGACAGGGACTTTTGTCTTTATACACAAAGCTCTGGAACACCATACCAAAGGAAAGCATGGATGTGGCTACAGTGAGTGTTTTTTTCACTCCATCAACATTAATTCCCAAACACACATTAAATCAAATGGAAAGAAAGATTTGTATAACACTAAACAACTAGTTGTATTCTCTTATTATTGAGAATATTTCTTGTCTTAGTTTATGTTAGCTATACAGTTGATACCAAACTGAAAAAAATTGTCTAGCTTTCGTCTGTTTTTCTAGCATCTGTTTTTAGTATTGAGTATACTTGTGTAAAAATATAAATAAAAATTGTACATGAACATGAACAGTTGTTTTTAGTTTGGAGAGGAGAGGGGGCTCTCTCCTGGAGGAAGGGTTTTATGTGGCAATCTTTTTAAGAGATTTTTTGAATGCCCTAACTTTACTGCTGTTGACTACCCTAAATCTTCAGCAACTTAAAGACAGTTTCTGTCTCTTAAGCTCTTTTCAGGATCAGAACTCTGTGCTTATGTAATCTCTGCCTTTGCACTTGTTTTTTATACATCCCTATCTGATTTGGATTCACTTACTTCAATTTTTGGTCCTGGAACATATGCAGTTTAGACTACTTTAATAAACATGTTAGTTACCTTTAGAGAAAGTAAATAGATGTTGCTGCTTCCATATAGGTGGAACAACAGAGCTACAGTAGTCTCTTCTCTTTAAACTCACCTTGTCAGGTTCTCATATAAACCAATGGCAATGAGAGCAAAAAAAAGGGACATGTATGGTTGATGAAGACATACTATATATACTGTGTAGAGCACATTTGTATTTGGCATCTTAAAACCATAACTACCAATGGACAATTTAGCTATCTACTGTATATACAGTAAAAGTTATTTGACTCCTCAAAAATGTCCTCATGGGTCTTACTTACCCCTTCTCTCTCACTACGAGTGGCAAGCTGCGTTTTACATGATGTGGGAGTGTTTTCTGGATGGGTCTCTTCAACATTATTTACCATATAGTACTTGGGAAAATATCTCAGAGTTTCTTTTGTCGAGCGAGGACTCGTCACTCGATTTCTCAAGCAGAAGAGGTGGAGGTGGCATTACCACTGCCAAGTGGGTGGTTGATTGTGCTGGTGGTCTACATATGGAACTCTCCAGTGGGCCTAGGAGGGCACTGGGGGCCTTCAAGGCTGGACTCCAGTGGCAAACATCATCATAAATACGGCCATCTGAAGGGGATTCTTATGGTCCTCTAGTGCTTGGGGAGGGAGGGGGTTGCCACCTGGGTTGGAGAAGGGTTAATAGACAATGGGATTGTGCTATTGTACTGTTTCATTTCCCCAAAACAAAAAGTAATAAAAAATCATTAGAAATCAAGTTGTGTTGTTCAGACATTATTTATTTTCAGTTTATTATTTCCTTATTGCCTGTATACTATAAACCTTTTTTAAAGTTGCCTTTTACAAAAGTGCAAGAAGCAAGCTATTTATTCCTCCACTTCTTATATTTTCTAATAATATGTTTTGCAATTTGAAAGTTATTTATGGATATGTAAAGCTTAATTTGTACTATGTGTTCTTTTATGTTAGAATGCAGAACAAACTAAACAGTTATCAACTGAAGAACCTCTGTATTTTTTTAGTAATCATCGCATTTCAAGAAAAGATTCTTTTTTCTCTTTAGTTTATTATGTTTTTATTATTGCACACTTCCTCTGACACTGACCATTATTTATGTCTAAGTATTTTGGGAATTTTTTTCTTCCTAATGTTTTTTATGTATCTATGGAAAGGCATTGTACGTTAAAATTATATGTCACAATATTTTATATGATACAGGTAATGCATAATACTGTATATATCACAACATTGTATCATGTCACATTAGTATTGTAAGTGGAATTGTGATTATGTAGATGGTCAGAACTCATACCATACCAAGTTCTTACATACTTTTCTTGGTGTTTATAGTCAAGCTTTATTATTCCCTGGGGGAAGTGAGGGTTAAAGGAACATAATATAGTTGTCTTATAATTGTCTTCCAAGTGGGACAGTCACTGGCATTATCAATATAGGGACTGGATTTATGTGGAGACAACATGATAAGTTAATTAACATTCAGCTTTTTTTAGAATTCTAGATCCCAATAAAACATTTTATTTTCTAAAGGATGTTTCCCTTGGTTAGGACACAGTGCTAGTACAGCAGAAGAATGATAATGTAAAACAGTAATTATAGGACAATTATAAATTAAAATAATACTGTTATCTCTGTGAGCCAACAGAACAATAGGCAATACAATTCAAAGCACAGAATTTTGCAGTCTCAGCAATTACACACAGCAGTTAAAAAAAGTGAAGATTTCTAAGGTCTTTCTTAACACAAGCAAGAGGAATACCCAACAACAGTTTGAATATTCAAAGTGCAGGTAAATGTGTAGTAATCTGAGAGAGATTTAAGCAAATACAAGAAAAGCATTACAGAAACAGGTACTTTTTTAAGAAACACTTCACATCATGTTACAATCATATCATAATAGTGGTTTCCCCCAGCATAGTAATATTCTATGTGGATAGTCATCCACAATTTACATATTGCCCAAAACACTGTATCCTACTGTATTTACTGTAACTGACTTCTGTGCTGAACTTTAAATTTTTGTCACATTTTGTCAGGCTCTCCTGATCATATTGTATGAAGTTAATGTAATTTATACATTATACTAATCCATGTTCCACATATAAAAATAGGCAAGTCCAAGGGATTTATCAAATACAGATGGAGTATCAGTCAAAAGTGTCATGTTGGTAATGGCACGTCAGTCCTTTGAAAATGTAGCATGGCTTTGTTAAACAGGGGTACAGGGTACTGTAGTACCTCTGTCATTTACACAGCAAGCATTCACAAATTCAATTAAAACGGGACCAAGTAAAGAAATTCCTGATATAAAAAGAAAAGACTTGTTTTTGGATTCAAGATAAAGGGCTTCATTAATTTCCATTAAAACTAACAAGATCATTAGGCTTCATTGACTACTGTTAAATTGGTTGTTTCAATAACATAACTCTTCTAATAGCTTGCAGTGACATGGAGCTCAGGGAAGTGGTCAGCAGGTTGAGAGACTGGTTCAAAGTGCTGCACGAAAATGGAAGCCAGAACAAAAAAGTCAAGATCCAAAGACCGGAAAGGAGTCGTGAGTTTTTGCATTTATTTATTTTCTATAAAGAAACTGTTTTAACTATGTTGTTCTATGTTGTAACTATGATCTCTCTCTGCATTTGTCTCTGCATTGGTACAAGCATGACACATATTTGATGTAACATGTGGCATTATGATGGAGAAACTAAAGCTACTTGTACGGCATATAGCTAGTTGCATTGAAAGCTACTTTCTTAAAATAAATTTCTGCTTTTGCAGATGCTTTTAAATTGCATTAAATAAACAGGGTTAGTGCTAACCTAAGTATTCTATTTTCATAATAATTAACTGCACATGGCTGTCAAGATTGATCATCTGTTAGCAAAAATTCTTAGTGATGTATCTTAAAAGTACAATTTCAAAGTAGGACTCTGACAATTGTTTTTGTTTAGAATGAAAAATGTCCTTGCTGTGTTGTTGTGATGTTACATGTTTTACATAGGGGCAAATATATTTCTTTAAGATAGTTTAAGACTATCTTTAACTTTGGCACCAAAATACTAAATACTAAAATGTTTTAAAAAGTAATTTATCAGTGGGATTAAAAATATGTCAATTTACTTCGAACACGCTTATGTTTTTCTAATTCTTATAATTTAGTAGATATCAGAAGATTTATTCCAAGCCTTTGTGACATTACAATTTCCATCTCCAACAGTCTTCACCTCAGCTTTCAATTCCAAGAAACAGTAAATGTCAGTTGTTGTTTTATTCCTGGCTAATTACTCATATGGTATATTGAATATCACTTTATAATTAAATTATTTTTGACACATAACCGCATCTACATAAATGTCGGTTTATAGACTTTTTAATTTATTTGATTGAATTAAAATAGCAATGTTAACAATAATAACTTACATACAGTAATACCATGTACAGTATCTTCTTTTGATTGAATCAGTTTTGTGACACGCTCGCTCCAATATTAAGACCAGCTGGCACTGCTGGAGATCCATCCACAGCTGATGTGGTGTGCCGGCTGGTCTTGACACTGGTGGTGGCCCTTCCCATGTTCTTGTCACATGCCCGCGTTGCGCCTCCACAGCGAATTTTGCTTTGTTTTACTGACGCATATTAGAAGTTGTAAATCCAAAGAGCTTTCTTTCTTTCTTGCGGAGTCACCTCTGCTGTAAGGATGCTCAGCAGGCAAATTTTGAGCTTTGCTTTCTTGTTTTGATGACTTACCTGTGTACTTCCTGTGTCGTGTTTAGTTAGTTTGTTTCAATCTTGGTGTTGTTCTTCTGAATGACAACTTACATCTGGACTGTAAAAGTACAGTTGGTGCAAAATACTGCAAAGCTTATTATTACTATAAAGGCTCATATAAGTGAGACTCCGAAAGTGTGCGTGTTAAATAAATTAGATACTGTAGGTGTTTTGATGAGGAGTATGTTAAAATAATGTTAAAATTATTTTGAATAGTTAAAATAATTACCTCCCTGCAAGTCAATTTTAAGTTTGTGGCCACATTTGTGTACTGCTCCTACCCACTTATCACCTCCTAGAACAATTGTGTGTCACCTGCTTTTCTGTTCCTTACACAGGCTGCTTCTCAGAAAAACATATGGTTGATTTTCTGCAGCTAGTTCAGGAGAACTACTCCAGTGGTGGGGACTTGATACATTTTGTTCCAAGTTATTGAATGAACTGAGTTTGGCAAACCAAGATTTTAAAAGCTGTTGCAGACTTCATGATAATGTGAAAAAAGACATCCATTTGGAAAAAAGAAATTTCTTTGGAAAAAGTTTTGTCATTGGTGATAATAATACAATCCTTACAACTAAATCATAGCGGACTGTGGCAGATATGTAACCACTGGAGTTTTAAATGGTACTGTACCTCACCAGTTTAGTGGTTAACTTGCTTAAGTGGTGCGAAAACATTCCTACAAGTTTGTTAGTTTCCAAAATGAGTTTGGCTGACTTAATGTTGCCTTCTGCACATACAGCAGGAAAAATGTTCAGTACATCTTAAAGGGTAAATTATCATAGTCGGACTGTATGTGGAGGATTTACATTCATCTGCAGAAAAAGATATACTGTAGAATCAGTTTATTTAAACTTTTGTGACAATCTAGGTTGTAAAACAGTTGCAATGCAGCTGCTCCTAATTTGTCCAGGAAATGGCAGCTAATTTATATGAAAAGTTAAATTAAAATCACTTAAGTAGCTTGCTACTCTAATAGATTTAAGCAAGATACTCCCCAACACTATTATAAAATTAGGCAGTTAATAAATTAGTCTTCTCCTCGGCTTTCAATTCCAAGAAACAGTTTACATAAATGTCAGTTTATATACAGTACATATTGTTCCTGGCTAATTACTCATATATTGAATATCACTTTATACAGTAATTAAATTCTATTTGATATGTAATCAAGTTTACGTAAATGTCAGTTGATATATTTTTCATTAATTTATGATTTGCAATGTAGCTATATAAAGTGCATTCAGGTTTAAACTATAAGAAAAGAGGGATTCCGGATTTGCTCTGCAGACAAAACACCTGGATAAGCATAAATGAGAGACCTTTAAATCCACAGGTTAATCTAGCAACTCTTACATAATTTCAAAGCAATTTTTTGATGGTTTATGAATTTATAGAACCATTCATGCATTGCTGAAAATGACATTTGTTTTCCATCAGAAAATGGGATAATAAAAAACAAATACCTGTAAATCTAGGTCACACTTTAGTGCTTACTATAAATTCTACTTTTCCATTTTATCTGTTCATTGTGGTGTCAGAAAACATTGCATCATTTCACTTAGACTAACCCTGTAAAAAAGTTAAAATAATCATACAGGTTAATATTATTAAGAAAACTAAATGAAAATATTTGGTGGCTTTGGCCTAAGAGCTATATTCCAAGGTGTAGTAAAATCATAACACATCTGGGGCAGAATAAGGCTTTGGAACATCAGATTATCAGGAATATGTGAATGTTGTTGTTGTTGAGTAATGCCGAAACAAGAAGGAAAAATAAGGCATTTAAACAAAACCAGTATCTTTGCATCGGTACAAAACATAGAACCTACATTCAACTCAATTGCTTCCCCTGATCCAGCTCACTTTCCAAACACCAGTGATCTTGTATCAAGGAGATGGAAAAAAAAAAGTGACTGACTCCACTTGGAGTGAATTTGGAGAGAATTAAATTCGGCTCCTTTGATATTTTCTCTCATTTGGCTCTATGTGTAGCATTAAAATGCCGCATCACGATGCATTTACTGCAAAATGGGATTTGAATACAGGTGAGTCAGTAGACATGAGGGTTTTCTGTATAAACTCCTTCATGAATGGTTTCAGAAAAGCTGTTGTATGCCTGCTCTACAGATACAGTATGTTTCAGATTGGTATAGTTACAGTACAATTTAGTATTTGCTTTATGAAATTCCATATTATCTTCTTTGTAAATGTAAAAACTGGGAGGTACATGTCAATGTGGATAAGTTATAGCTTTTAGAACTCATTTTGCTGGTTGGATTTTTGCTTCTGAGGACCTGGGTAATATTGAACCACTGATGTTCCTGAAATCAGACCAGGTGCTCCTGTTTTCATCTTTGATCGAAGTCCTCCGTTTTTTTAATTTCATGTTTACGGTGTTCTGGACATGTATTTGGCATTGTATGAAGGTCAAAAGAAGAATTGTGACAAGCTGACCTCCAACTTCAAGTTTGAATTAATCATTGTATCACTAAATCCAGTCAATATCATGTATAGTACAATTATGGAACATTATGGAAGAGAAAAACGTAGAAAATACTGGTTTGTGATAAAGAAGACAGTAAAAAATCAAAACCTAAAATGATAAAAAAGCATATCTTGTATTTTTTATGGTTTTATCCATCACATCATCATGATCATCATCATCATCATCATCATCATCATCATAAACTGCTGGCAAAGAACTCCTAAAACATTTTCTAAGACTGAGTATCCACTAACCGTGTTTGTATCTAATATATGAAAGGGTACGTAAAAATGTGTTTTGCTGGCAGAACCTTAGTTTTCCTATATATTTTCAGTATTCCTTGCATTAACTGTGACACTTTTTTTATTGTTTTTAGGCTTTGATACAAGTATTTTACCTATTTGCAAGGACTCTCTAGGATGGATGTTTAACAGACTGGACACAAACTTTGACCTTCTGCTGGATCAATCAGAGCTTGCAAGTCTATATCTTGACAAAAATGAACATTGCACCAAGTCATTCTTCAACTCCTGTGACACTTACAGAGATGGTCTGATATCCAATAATGAATGGTGTTCTTGCTTCCAAAGACAACAAGGTAAGAAGGCGTGATTTACAATAATATTTTGTTAATGATATTATTAAATAGTCTAAACAAGCTTAATTTACTGGGAAATAAACTGTAAACTTTTTGTCTGTGAAACAAATGGTGTATGCATACAGTGCTCTCCAAAACATTTTAGGACAGTTCTAAAATGTTCTCTCTCACACAATTTGGAGTATGCTGTCTCATGCCCTGTGTTGCTAAAAGGAATACAATGCCTTTGTCACGCCCTCTGCAGCCAGAGGGCGCTCCTACTCTGTCCTGTCCCTAGTTTCCTGTGATTTGCTGTCCTTCCGGTGTCTCTCTCTCTGGGGCTATATATTTCCGGGTCTCTCATTCACCTTCGCTCAGCATTGACGTTCGGATGTCCCGAGACCTGCCAGCACCAGGTCGCCCCACGTCGGCTGCCTGAGGGCATTGGTTTCTATACGACTCCTGAACTGCTGAGCGCGGGCTAATCCCCTGTTCCGCCGCTACACATATGGGTCTTTTTCAGCTCTCCTGCCTCTCCACGGTTCGTCCCTTCCAACATCCTTAACTTCATACAAGATGTTAGTTGTTTCTACACATTTCTACTGCTGCTCACCAGCTCCAGTTTCAATTTTCTGTGCTCACCATTTTCCTAGCACAGCAGGATTTGGAGATCTGACCAGGGTTCACCTCCTACAAACTAGGACAAGAACAATTTCCTCACCAGCTCTACCAAGACATTGGTCTCTCTCAGCCATTCTACTCCTTGCAATTTTTGGTCTTATATTGCTACACTGTCAGCCTCTCAGTGCTTAGTAAAGCATTTTGTTGAATTTCAGAGCTTGTATCTCCTTGTATTCTCCTAGCAAGTGGTTCCCTATGCTTACCTTGTCACGATCGCAAACCCCTCCTCTAAAGGGCGCTCCAGCCCTTTCTTGTTTGTTATTCATCCCCCGCACCTGCTCCCTGTTCCAGCCCCTTTTCAGTTCCCCCTTTAAAAGCCAGATGCTGACACTATTCCAGGCTCTGCTCTGGTTTCCGCACCAAGCGAGTCTGGGACCTGGATACGCCTGGCGCCGTTAAGGTTTTAGTTTCTGTTCCTGTTCCCGTTCCCCCCACCGGTCGCGACCCGGTTCTGGTTTAATTGTCTGTCTTGGATGGATCGTCTGGCTTTGGACTTGTGCCCTATTTTGGATTTCCCTTGTTGACTCATATCTGGATTGTTTGCCTCGGCCACACCTCCCCCGACCACCAGCACTCCATGGACACACCCCCGTTTTCATTCCTGTCTTCTGCATGCCTTTTTTCCCAGTGTTTCCACACTCTACCTTGGATTGTGTCGTCTACATTGGGTCCGGAAAGAACTCTTCCTGACATACCTGTTCCAGCCACATCGGTAGTCACAAGCAGCCAACAGATTAATATGCCTGCACATCTCCTCCAAGCCAGATACTCCATTCCCTCACTAAAGCTACCTTTTTCACAACACAGTCATCACTCTCGCTATACTTGTTTAAAACCTTAGGACGAAACACTCAACTCACTACATTAGTCCAATCTATCGGTCCTCCAGAAAAGTATATTTAGGGTAACACAGAACAAACATTCAACTATCTCATTCCCGATTATTGAGTTAGTTCTCCCTTATCATTGTCCTCTAACAAATTCCATATGCTTTAGTACAAGGTGATCTTAAGCACCACACTTCCTGATCAATGTAAAGAATGGGACATCCTCCAGTCTGTCATTCCAGACTTCACTTTAGCTTTGCCAGTCCCATGTTTTTCAAATATCTGTAGCAGTCTTGCCGGCTTGCTTCTCCACCATGGGGGATCGACAGCATCTTCCAGGAGCTGCCAAATACTGGGGTCCTATTTGTCGGCTTTTCACTTGTGGTTTTACGTTCATGCATCACTGTAGGGTGCACTCCCTGAATCTTTCAGTCCCTCCTGCTAAGTCCATTTTATCACACCTTAATTAAAAGGGATTCAGTACTATCTTACTATCTTAACTGTACAAGTCAGTAATTTCAACCCAACAAAGTACAGAAGCTCCAAATAATGTTTTTCTCTTATTTCAAATACTCTTACAGTTATGTCATCCAATTTCGATACCCCTTTGGGACGTTAGAAATATTTACACCATCATTCACCCCAATTGAGTTTCCAGTTTAAAAGTCGTTTCCACCTTTTCAGCTTCAGATAGGCTGCCATTATCTTAGGCAGGCAAGCTTTGCAATATACTTTATACTTATTCCTCCTTCTCTCACTTTCATTTGGATCTAAACAAACGACTGAAATCATTTTTAATAAAAAGCTTGACTAATAAGTGGGGCTCCTTGTGCAATTAAAAACAAATGGGTCAATTTAAAAAAATGATAGTGTTGCATCTCTTATTTTAAAGCAGCAAAAGTATTCGGACAAGTGGGTCACAGGTGTCTCGTGTTGATCAAATGTTTGCTGTCAGTTAATTAGGCTCTTATAAAAGTAAACATCCTGTCATCCTGTTTCACTTTGACTTCAGCATTTTGTAATGTCTGTAGTTCGAAACCATAATGAAAACAAAACTACCTTTCTGCTCAAAGAAAGAAAAACTCAAAAAGGACTATACCATAACACATTCGGCATACTAAAAATAAATTATTTGAAATACATTGAAGAAGATTGAAACCGCAGGTATAATTACCAATCAGCAAAGACTGGGTCGGCCAAGAAACACATCTGCAGTTGATTACAGAACAATTATCACAGCTGTCAAGGAAAATTCTAAAATAACTTGGCAAAATCCCTAACAGCCTCCAGAATTTAGAGGTTAAGGTATCAAAATCCATCATTCACAAAAGACAAAGACTGCAAAATTAGGAGCTGTGGTTATACCACAAGATGTAAAACTCTCATCAGCACCAAGAATAGAAAGAGCAGGTGAGATACAAAGATGAGGCAAGCAAGTATAAATGTGTAATGTACAAGGTATAAGGTTATACATGTACTTTTGAGAAAGGATGGATTAGCTCTAAAACACTGGCATTCTTGTCTTGATTGATGATGTAATTAATGATGGCAGCAATATAATTACTTCTGAAGTTAACCAAAACCTTTTGTCTGCTATTGTGGGAGAGTATGATTCCATATGTATTAGATTATGTTTCAATATGCAGCATGACAATAAAGCAAACTACACAGAAAAAAAGAAGTTAAACATAATGTGATCTCAAATTAAATAGTTGGTTTCAACACAACATTTTTTTCTAATATCCCAAATATACTGTATGTACGGAATTACTCAAAATGTATAAAAATAAGTACAATATATTTGTATTAATTTGATTAATAGAAATTGCTTGACTGTAAAGCAAAACATTACTTTGAATATTACAATATGACTATAATACAATAAATCACATGCAAACAATACAAATGTTAAGAATATTAGTTTTCAATTTTTCAGTTATTTTTATGATGGGAATGCATTTCATGTAATGTTTTAAATACCTTTTACAGACCCCCCATGTCAGACGGAACTCTCCAGCATTCAAAGACAGCAAGCTGGAAAGAAATTCCTAGGTAAGGCATACATTGGTGTCGGTATTGCAAGTATATGTAATTTTGGTTAAGGAAAATAGGAAAAACAAAGCTAAATGAAGTGATTGCAACAGCTTTACATTACTTAAAACTATTCTTTATTTGTTCTCATTTATCTTTAATTTTTAATTTTTAAAATAATTTTTAATGGGAAATTATTTGTTTCTTTGTTTGGATCACAAATTGCAAGAGAGTTTTGAAATAGAAATTGACATTACAAATGAAGTCAGTCCAGCCATTGTGTTATTTTAAAATTATTCTAATTGGAAATGTGTTTGCTTTGTTTTGTTATGTACCTTTTATGCATTTATTATTTGGATTAATTTTGTACACAATGTCATTTTTCCTTTGTACTCTACCTATTCGGCTTTAAATTGCATATACTCTTGTATTATTTATGTTTACACCTTTGCCTTTTGCTGAAGTAAAGTGAAATTTTGTAAATGCATTCTGTTTTTATAAATGTAAAACCTGCATTACTCATATTACCTAAAAATATCATTTAATTGAAATATCATATGACGCAGCAGGAGAAGTGGATCGAAAATGATTTTTTTATTAGATAAATTATTAGATATCTATAATGAAGGTTTGCCTTTATACTATCATACTTTTACTGTGGTGTGCCTTGCATTTGCTCTGCTTTGCTATGGTTTTGTTACACTAGAGCTTGGCGAGACAATGGTGTGCGAGAATTCTTGGTGCCCAACAATGTTTATTACTAGTATCCCAGTATTCCACAGTTTATTCATTGTCCAGTAACACATACTGTAGTTTAATAAAATAATAAATGAAACTAAATCAGCATAAACCAAGAAAGGAAATCTAGCAAAAGCTAAGCATGCAAAAAGCACCATGATTAATTCACTTTAGAGATGTTTTGTAAAATATTTAAGATGCAGAAAAGTGAAACTAAGGACTGAGTTCTTATAGTGAATCTATACTGTTTGCAGTTTTTATGCAGCTGATACATCTCTAAAATGTAACCTGTTCACTCCAATTTTGCTAATTACTCAGGTTACTCAATTTCTTTGCCATTTACCTGTCAACTGATTTAAACATCATGGATACCAATGAAACTCTATAACCAAAGAACATATTCAATAAGTATGCATCAGATTGTCCTGACCAGGAATTGAATACAGGACCTTCTGGGTGAGAGGTGCACACTTTACCACTGTACCAAAGCGTTGCTGAAAACACCTGAAGAAGGCTCCACCGCCAAAACTGTTGTCTCTTTTCTTTTCCTTTTAGCATGGAATAAACTTTTACCTGTTTCTTTACAGAAGATCATGCTGATTAATTAAATTACATATTGAATTTGTGATATTACTATCATGCAGTCTGTTACAGTACCATATAGTACTCATGCTGTGCACTGCCAGCAGATGAAATGGCTTTCCAGACCATGTTTTTTTGTGATGAGATTGTATGAAGGAATGATCCTTCTAGAGTGCTTTGTACTTTTCTAGCTCAACAAATAAACTTCACATAGTCTGTTTTAAAATGAACCTTGAGCAAAACTTTTCACAGAAACCAAACAAGTACTGACAAATGTTTTTTCTGCATGAAATCATTTGCTTAAGTCACAGAGGTCTGACAGCACAGAGAAACTAGTGACATTTGAAATGTCCAGTAGCCCTACATGCATCCTGTAATATCTGGTGGGATAGTGGGCCATTGGGGCACCATATTGTGATTGTATGATGCAAAAATAGTTGCACTGCATTCTTAAAGCTCACTTATGTGTTTTTATGGTTTAGTTAACACAAACAGAAGCACACAAATAGACTTGAAGCATAGAACAGGATGCAGAGCCTCATGTTTTTTTGTGCTACACATGCTGCAAGTGTAGATTGCAGCATTGATTACATGAGTGTGACACTACCAGACAGACGTCAGAAGCATAAAAAAGTATCAGAAAGGAGCTAGTGTATATTAGCCTTTGATATGAAAATGTATTGATCAATATATTGATACATTTAGTATTACATTAATACATTGTAATACATTAATACATACTGAGTCTATAGTCAGTTTTACTTTGGTCATATGTAAGAAACGTTCACTCATCCTTTCAAGTATGTAAAATAACATACTAATACACATCTGTTTTAATCACCCGTGGAATTAAAAAATGTAATGATAAATTCAAATCCAAAGCTTAATTAAAGAGGGAAAACATTTTCACTCGAGTCTTTCCAATAAAATAGACAGTGACAGAATTAAGGTTCAAGGGGCTGCGTTAGAAAGAATATGTAAAATAGGAGCACTGTATGAAAGTGAGATAGTCATTACCGAATTTTCTGCAACTGCAGTGAAAAGGATTGTCACATAATTGTAGATTTCTGTTTGCGTATGGAAACTCACTTTTATACTGTACTAAGCTAAATCACTGTTAAACCTGATGAGGTCTATAGAAATAGTCTACCGAGCTGTGAAATGCCACTTACACACTTTGACATCTTGAGAAATGAATTCCATAGATGTGCTGCCCACACAGTTCATGGGGACAGCATCCAAGGAGAGCTTATTTTAAAAAGGATCAAACAGCATTAGACCCAATACCTGATGGAAAACGGGGTAATGGGAATCAAAATATCAGGAATTAAAAGTGAATTAATGACAGCTCTTTTGTATTCTTGAATGTCGGAACACTGCAAAGATGGTTACTTTATAAAGGGAAATAGATTTGCATTGCCACCCACACCTCATTTTTCAATCATTTAAAAAAAGGTTTGGTTTATAACAATTGATTGGAGAACTAGAAAATGTGTTGTTTCATTGGACATTAATTCATTTTTCCAAATTACAATACAGAGAAGCTACACTGTTTCTTGAAAAGAAAAACATTTTCAGTACAATTCCAATATATCAAAGTATGTCATCTATCCAAATAAATACTTAAATGCATAAACATGCTTCTACAGACTACTTTGCAATTGTGTGAAATTGCAAGGAATTATATTTAAATTTTCAGTAAAGCAATTAAAACTGCTTAAATTAATATAGATGAATCAAAGTTATAATGCCTGAAATGTTATTTTTGTCCTTTATGATGTTTTGCTTAGTTTATGTTTCATACAATTTTCCATTTTTTTTCTGTTTATCTAAAACAAAAGGGTTATTTGGATATATGAAAGTTTATGGTAGAATTTAAAAATGGACCGAAAGTTCACATATGTGATCATCTATATCTCAGTGGACTGTAATTATTTAGAGATACAGATATTAAAAAACCTTGAATAAAATGGTTTGAATATTTTTTTAAACATCACAAATCTCAAACCACCAATAATTTCTCTATTTTATCTCTTATCTATTTGCAATATGGAATTGTTACAAAGTCATAACAGAAATTCAGGAGGAAGATTAAATCCTATCCCTCACACTTTTGCTTGAATGCATATAAACATCTTGCACCCCGGACTTCCTGTAGCACATCTCTCTCGTACGAGCAATGTGCATCTCGTTTCATCACAGACAGGTGTGTCTCATGCTAAATAATAGAAATACACAAAATAACTGATAACTAAATCACACTCAAAAAGGATTCTTACATGTGTTTCATATTAATTTTAATACTAATTACCAATAAGCTCCTCTACAAAATGCATCTTAAAATCAACACTTTAATATGTGAGATCTAACAGATTTTGAATGAGGTTGAATAGTTGGTGCCCGAATTGAAGGTGCATCAGTCATTGAAATAGCAAAATTATTTAAAGTGTCAAAGGGAGCAGTGTCGAAAATCATAATGACATACGACAAACAAGGGTAAACAGCATTAGGAAAGAGGTACAGCGGTCTCAAGTCAAACCTCCCTGACAGATAAGGACAATACTTATTATGCCTCCCCAATCACCTGATCTAAACACTGTTGAAACTTTATGGGAAGATCTAGAATGTTCAGTGTGATGCAGGTTTCGACCTCTTTCATCTCTCAAAAACCTGCGGCATTCCTTCTTTAAGATTGGTTCAGTATCCCACTTGAATCTGTTCAAAACTTGCAGAGGATAACAGTATTCCAAGAAGAATTTAAGCTGTTCTGAAAACAATGGACACCCCAACTCCTTTATAGTTTCATTGGTGTTCTCATTATTATGTCCACCCTCCGTATATATGTGGTTTTGTCTCTCCCCAATCATTATTTTCACTATCCACTACAGAAGCCACCAATTGCTACCTCCCACTCCTCCCCACGGGTGCAAGCCCATGGAGTCAGCCTGCACCAAACACAGGGTTCCTCATTCACGCCTATGCTGTCTCTAGTTGTCCCTAGGGAGCTAAAGCGATGGGTTTCACACCCATTTACCCCCCCCTCCACCTCCTTTTGGCTGGTGGGCCTTTGACTCTTCTCCCTCCCATGCCTCTAGCCACATATATACCACAAATTCCATCTTTTTGGGGGGATTCATCTAGAAATTAGTTCGTAACTAAATTCAGCAAGTATCAATCAACTCTCTTCTTCATCGTCCTCCATCAGGACCAGAAGCTCTTCTAGTCTCCAGTCAGTGCTTTACGCCGCGACACACACAGAGTTCCAATCTAAATCTAGATAGTACAGCTACATTCTGACCACCCCTCTTACTGCCTCCCTCCAAGCTTGGCAAGTCACCATGTTAACCAGTATAAACATGACGACATTGTCGTAACTCACTTATATAGATGGAAACTGGAAAGGCAACAAAAACCCCGCTCACCTCCACCTTCCACTTCTACAAGGGTATCTCCATGTTGCTCCTTCTAGGTCAGTGCAGTCTCCCCAGACACAAAACTCCAGACTGAGTGAAAAACCAGTATCCATAATCTAATGCACCTAGCGTGCCTATAGGGAGGCAATCATTGGGCCAGAATCTCCAGAGATATATTTTCTCCCACGGAGAGTTTTTGTTTTCCTCTCGGCCATGGGCCTAGCAGTTGGTTTCCCACACTCACCAACCTAGCCGGTCCCTCTGCTGTTGCTAGCAGCTAATTCTGCCACCCTTTTGGTGTCTCACGTTTTGGCACCTGCAGCATACGTGCTTCTAGAACATCAAAACCGAATCCACTTGCTCATACAAGCACAAACAACTTGCGTTGTGCTTGTCCTGTCATTTGTTATGTATGCATGCATGCAGTATGCATGTAGTTTGACCAAAACTTTTACTTGGTTCCAGCAGAACCACAGCCGAATGCGGCGTCTGTATTTTTTGGGGTTTCCTTTTTGGGGGTCTGAACAGGTCATACAAACGACGCCTAATATATCTGCATATCTCATCTCTCTCTTGCATTTATTAGGATCTAACCCAACTACTGAATAATTATTTATCAGTTTAGATTACTGTTACTGTAAAGGTACATCAACTGTACTTCTCCATCCTATTGGAACTGCATAGCATATAACATGCTTTCCATGAGCTCCATACCACTTTACAAAATGTAGGCAATATGTGACTTTTACTGTGAAAACACTTAAATCACTAACATTGGGTAAGGTGCAGATGTCACCAATGCTTAGTGCTCAGTCAGTTATGCACTTAGAATATAGCGCTGCTAATATATTTTAATTCACAGAATGTAAATACTGTAAATATTACATGTACTGTATAGTATTTTATATATTTTGTATATATAACATATTTTGCTAGTACATTAAGCTAGTCTCTGCATTGTAACATATAATAAAAGACTACAAAAATGTATCCCTAGGGTTGTACATACCTTCCTGTGATGAAGATGGATACTATACATCTACTCAGTGTCATGGAAGTATTGGTCAGTGCTGGTGTGTCGATAGATATGGAAATGAAATAGTTGGATCCAGAACACATGGACCTTTAGACTGTGGTATGTACATATTTTAAAACATGTTCAATACGTGGGTATGATATACAGATCTTTGCCCTTAATATGATGTTTCTCTTTGTGAAATTACTAAATTATGAGTATTTTACATTAGTATTTGAATCAAAACCTGAATGCTTTAGACCTCTAAGGGTAGGATATGTTACAATAAAAGTCAGGAAAAATTAAAGAGATAAAGATTAAATTTGTTGATTGCATAAGCATTCAAAGCCTGGAACACAATATTCGGAGAAAGCACCTTCAGCAGCAAATATAGGTGCAGGTCTTTTTGGGTACATTTCTATGAAGTTTGAAATACTTCATAGAAATGAAAGTTGAAATGATTGGAATCTACTGAAGATGATTGGATTTGTTTTTTAATCCATCCATTCCTTTTATAACCACTTTATCCAATACAGACTATCCCAGGAAACAACAGGTGCAAGGCAAGGTACATCCTGGATGAGATACCAGTCCACCATGGGGCACACACATAAACAGACATGCACACACTAACACCAGGGCCAAATATTAAATTAACTTATTAAAACTATGACATTATGAATAGTCAATTGACTTTTGGCCTGTGGGAGGAAAATGGAGCACCTGGGGGAGACCCACACAAAGACAGGAAGAACATATATACTCCATGCAGACAACACCCCAGGTCCAGAATTGAACCCAGGACCCCAGCTCAGCAAAGCAGCAAACCTAACCACTGTGCCACTGTACCACACTTGATTTTTAATATGATCTAAATTAAAGTGTAGAAACAGAAACACAAAACTGCCAAATGAACTATACAAAATTAGTATTAATTTGATTAATTTGAATTCAATAATAAGCTTTCATTCCACAAATAACCTATATAAAAGTATTCATTTATATTCCTTTACATTGATTAACCTTTCATTTGTTACATGACTTGCTGAATTATATGATTTTCACTACAGTAACACTGATCAGCAGTTTCTCCTGTTTCTTCCTGTAAGGTTAGACGGATTATATTGACTGGTTTATAAGTTTTTAAAATAGAGTTCGGCTGGATGGTGCACAACTGACTGATGACTGTATTTCATGTTTAATAAACTTATTCTTGCTTTGCCATACTTCTGTAGGGGTTGACGTGGATGCTTCTGGTGACTTTGGCAGTGGACATTTCCATGAACTGTCTGATGACGAAGATGGGGAGGTAGACATACTAAACGATGAAGATGAAATTGTTGATGATGATGAAGATGAGGGAGATGACGAAGACGATGAAGAAGGATACATATCATAGTCCTAACCCTTTCCAAGCTTGTTTTTTGTTCAAATTGCACGTTTCTAAGGCAAAAGTCCCTTTCAGATTACTTACCATACTAACATCACAAAGATTGCAATCAACATGTATACTTTGTATTATTTAACTTTTCCATTGACACTCTGATATTCCCTGTCCTTTTTCCAAATTCGATTCCTACAAGAAGTCGTGCTGTAAGAGCACCTTCTGCATAAAATTAACATAACCAAATCAAGAAGACATACTTGAGATGGCACTCAAAAATAAAAGTGAAAACACTTTCACTTGAAGAGCTGCATAATTACACAGACTCCGTGTTTACAATACATGTAGAAGATATTTTTTCTGAAAACGCGATAGAGATTTTTTTTTCAATTTTTTGTCTGGGCCCATGTTTTTTTCCCTGTGACAAATTAATGTTATTATTATCCTTACTTACGTTACTATGTTCCAAGACCTGTATCTAGTTTTCTCTGCTTTATCTGTTTAAGTTCTTGTATTATAGCGGAACAAACCACTTATTACTATAATTAAAATAAGTCTTAAAAAACAGTTAAGACTATTCATGTGCTATATCCACAAAATGGGGGGGGGGTAGTTAAGTGGATATTACGAAGAAAAATGTATTGTGTATTGTTAATACAACTACAAAAATCAACACAGAAGGCGAACGATGTACTTCAGTGGAGGCAGTATGAAATCCTTCAGTAACTGATTATTATGACCAATATACTGCAGGCGATTCCACTATAAGTAAAAAATGTTGTTTTTTCATCCACAAACTTTATGTGGAATTCTGTGTACTGTAGTGTTGTTTTCTATAGAAATTACATTTACAGTTTAGAAAGACATTTTTAAAGAGGTATCGAGATTAAATATTTTTGTCTTAAAATATATCCAATTATGAACTGTATTTTTCTTCTGATATATATTTACATAACAATACAACTTGTCGAATGAACTTACAAGTTGAAAAGAATGTTCTCCCTCATCAGACATTGCTCATGAGTTGCTGTGTAATACATAATACTCAATGAGGAAATGCAACCTTGATACTCTCTATAACTAATAGGAGAGCAGAGGTGATTCCTTCATTTTGAAGCTGCTTAGCATGGCAGGTATATGTTTTAAGTTACAAAGGCTTATATTGTGTTGATAAGTTTTAAGATGTACTGTACCATGTGTTGTGGCTATCACTAAATCTAAAACTTATGTACAAAAATGTCTTTTCAGACATATCAGTTATAACGGCAGTTATAACTTGACACAAATTTTCTGTTTTACTTTCTATAGAACAGCACCCAATGTCTTGGTATGGTTCTGCATTTGTAGACATACTGTATTCCAGATACATGGATCTTACAAAGAATACCTTTCAGGTTTAAGTTGTTTTTAAGAGCAATCAGAAGTTGCTGTGAATAATGAGATATGTATATTAATTAGCTGTTTCACAACATTAGAAAGCAGAACTGTTGAAAGAAATCTGTCTGTAGCTGCTTCTTATATGCAAAGCAAAATTGAGTCTCTTTACACTTCTGATTTTGTAGTCTTGTAAAATTGTCAGAGCTAAATGATATTCAAATATCCCATATATACAGATGTACAAGTAGTATGTGTGAGTGTGTGCTTGTGATCATTACTCATACATAGTTCAATAATGACAATGTCTTTTTCTCATTTTTATCAGTCCTAAATTTATCAATATAAATGATTCAAAATTAGGCATTTATAGATTTTTTTTAATCACGGTACTTAGAGTTTTATTACTCACGAAATATAATTTTGACTCACTTTTAAATTTCTTTAACTAAATTTCTTTTAAAGTTTAGCTGTCACTTTTCCTAACATACTAAATCATTTTATGATTAAAATGTGAAACTTATCTAGGTTCCAGTAAACACAAATGCACACATGAATACACGTAATCCCTTTGTTTAGTTGTATAAACATAGCTTTTTCAATCTATGTATTCTTAGTTCCATAAGTAGAGGCTGTAAGGTGCCTTTTGAAGATATAGGAATAGAAAGAAGACAGCATGCTTTATGAGACTAGATGTTAGGCTGTAGAAAAGCACACAAGCTGTTCAATTGCTATGACTGGAAATGTTTTCCTATTAATTTGGTTCTGAGTACATAATCTGCATTATACAGTTCTTATATTGCATAAAACAGCTATTTATATATAGGACATTATTGTAATTGTTTTTAATTTTACCAGCATGTAGTCAATTTCATAATCATGGGAACTCCAGTAATTGGGTGCTTATAGTTCTTGTGTGCCCGTTTGAATGATTCAGCTTGTGTACAGTAATTTGTACAACTGGCTTTTACAACAATGGAGTCTTTCTTTATTTTATTGTTTTTTTGTTTGCATTTAAACAAGGAAAATCATTATCTCATTATTAGTATTTTTCGGTACAAATGTTGTTCAGAAATTGCATTTTTATAGTGTATGTATGATTTGCAGAAATAAAAAAATATTAGCCAATTGCTGAATGGTGCCATTGCATTATCTTTTACCATGTACCATATTCATATTTTGTTATCTGCAATATATTGTTATTGTAAATATTTACTCCAATGATTGATAAAAAAAAGTTTTATTTGTAAAATTGAGCAGTAAGAAAATATCTTCAGTTTAATGACATAATTTAAAAAACGAGGCAGAACAACTATTTTTTTTCCAAAAGCGAAACATTTAAGTATATGAAAATAGAATTAACATGTTGTGTTATTTTCATGATTGTCTGGATTTGTTATGAATGAATTCTTAAAATGTGCAGTTTCTCAGTATATAATTAAAAATGTTTTAAATTATGGTTAGTCACTGCATATGGAACACATGTATCCATGATTCTTTGATAAAGCAAACTGTACTAAAGACTTTTTGAACAAAACTAATGGCAACCTGATCCAGAAAAATCAGTATTTCTGTTCACATACCCCAGTATTAAAACATAATGATAATGCAGTTGTCATGGGGTTTGACTGATACTGTATATTGAAAAACATTAACTGTCAAAAACATATACTGTTGGTAAAGTATGTAGTGTCTTCTTTATTCAAATTAGTAATAAGAGGTTTCCCTGTAACCTTAATTATACCTTTATTCCATGATTCCTTGAAATTCTAATTGATCCTCTCGAGTGTTGTACTACATTATTCTTAACAGTGAAATAAGCACCTAAGTCTTACACAACATTCCCTCAAAAAACTCGTTATTTAATCTTTTTCGTCCACCTCATCATTTACTGTCCACCTCCACATTTTAAAACATACTACTGTGCTATATATTTGCAGCTGTTTTGCATTTTCTATCTAGTGAGCTGCAGATTATATAGAGCAGTTCCAGCCAGCATGTCTGAGTAGACTCTTTGATGACTACAGTACATTCTGGGCCCCAACATTGTTACCCACATGCAGCCTAGTTAATTTTGTTCATACACTCTTATGTGGACCACAGCTTTATAATTGTTATAATAGAAACCAATCCCCACAGTACATGTGAAGAAACTTGAAGACAAAGTTCCTTTATTAAATTAAAAATCGAAATGTCACAAATATCTATTCATTATGTTCTTTTCAACATTCATAAAAATATATACTCTTACACATTCATAAATACCACATAGTTTCATCAAAGTACCCAATATAATATAAATGTAACCAAATGTTTTTACTTTACAACTTGTCACTAATAAAAACACTTAGATACCCACTGCACGACAGGAAACATAATAATGTTTCATAAGTTCCATTGTTTAAAACAAAACCAATTTATAAACTTTAGCTGCCCCCAGCATTCCTCCTTTCAAAAATAAAAAATGTGATAACTCCCTTAGCTCCTGTTTTTCATTTCCACTTCCTGTAATACACAGGAAAAATAAAACTGTGTATATCGTCTGTCACTGGTGTCGGAAAGGGCATGCTGTGGAATGGGGAGGAGAGCAAAAAGGACTCTATGCGTAGTAGCAAAATGAGGGTTAGCCCAGGCTCAGGAGGTCAGGCGATGTCGGGTAGAAACCTATGCCCTCAGGCTGCAGAGGAGACGACCTGGTGCTAGGCGGGTCTCAAGACATCCGATCCCTCAATGCTGAGGGAGGAAAGTGTGACCTGGAAATAAAATAGCCCCACACAAAGACACACTGGAAGGAAAAGCAAACACAAGGAAACTAGGGATGACAGAGTAGGAGCACCCTCTAGCTGTAGAGGGCATGACAGTACCCCCCCTTCACGGGTGACTCCTGACGCCCAAAAAACAAATGAGCTGCACAGCACTGGGGGGAGAAAAAACCTCATTTAACTGAAAGGAAACCTCCGGGAGTTCACGGCTAAGAGCTGCCCCCTCTTCCAAGATAAAAACCTTTATTGGGTAGAGGAAGGGGAGTAGAGTAGCGCTCCGGAGGCTTTAAACAAAAAAGACATGTACACAAGCACAAACCACAACAAACAAACTTGGAGAACAGGGTAACAAACTACAAAAAACAAATAGGAACCAAAAGTTCCAAGACACACGGGACAGGGGGACCAGATGGAAGGGGAAACCAGGAAGTGAAAAATCAAAACACCAAGAAAAAAAACGGATAACCAGACCGTAGTCCACTCATAGGCACAGATGTCCAGAGAGATATCCAGCGAAAAGAATGGAGGAACGGTAAAAAGCTAAACAGACTAACGCTGATATTGGTGTGGACAACCCGAGGAAAGCCAGACACAGGACCTGCTCACAGACACGGATGACCGGAGTGATATCCAGCAATTGGAAAGGGAGAGGAAAAAAGCTTAACATCCTATCACTGATATCGGAGTGATCTACCTGATCTACCCGAGGAAAGCCAGGCACAAGATCCACTCACAGGCACGGAAGACCGGAGTGATATCAAGCGATAAGGATAGGAGAGGCAGGGTTGAAAAGGGCTCAGCATTCTGTCACGGATGTCGGAAGGGATGAACCGTAGAATGGGAGGAGAGCGTAAGAGACCCTGTGCGTAGCGGCAAGATGGGAGTAAGCCCGGGCTCAGCTGTTAAGGAAATGCCGTATAGAAACCTATGCCCTCAGGTAGCGGACGTGGGGCGACCAGGTGCTAGGTGGGTTTCAGGACATCTGAACGTCAATGCTGAGCGAAGGCAAAAGAAAGACCCTGACATACAGTATATAGCCCCAGAGAGAGAGAGACTCCGGAAGGACAGCAAAGCACCGGAAACAAGAGACAGGACAGAGTAGGAGCGCCCTCTGGCTGCAGAGGGTGTGACAGAGATAGAGCACCTGAGTCTACATAGATGAACATCATGCACTTTTTAAACTTGATTTAACACATCTAAATAATTTATAGAACTTTTTACTTTAGAATACAATTTCCTAAATGTTAATTTGTGAATAAGAAGCATTTTAATGTGCTTCTTAAGAAACCAGCAACCGTGATGGGGTGTTGCAATATACAGTGTTACAATGTACAGTGTGCAAGCTTGTTGCACGCAGGACTTAATAGAATCACTTGTCAGAAACACAGACAGCTGAACATTTCCTTCAGTTTTTTCAGCCATTGTTCATCA